TTCAGCTCAAGGCAGGCGCTCTACCGCTTGAGCCACAGTGCCACTCTGTTTTTCTAGTGGTTTATTGGAGATAAGAGTCTCACAGAGTTTCCTGCCCAGGCTGGCTTTGAACTGTGATCCTCAGATCTCAGCTCCTGAGTAGTTAGGATTACAGGTGTGAGCCGCCAGTGCCTGGCTCATGGAGCCATATTTAACGTTACTGGAAAAACTAGACTAGTTGGTCAGTTAATTGCTCTTCAGTCCTCATCAGTGTCCTCACTGGTATTGGCTAACTCAGTCCAGAGCTGGACACCCTGGGGAAGGGGAGAGATTGGATAGCAAAGAAGTGTAAAGACAGTTCGCTACCTTTAAGAAGCACAATTAGAGCCAGGTGCTGGTGGCTCACGCCTGTAATCCTAGCTACTCAGGAGGCTGAGATCTGAGGATCATGGCTCAAAGCCAGCCGGGACAGGAAAGTCTGTAAGACTCTTATCTCCAATGAACCACCAGAAAACTTGAAGTGGCGCTGTGGCTCAAGTGGTAGAGCGTTCACCTTGAGCTGAAGAGCTGAGGGACAGCACCCAGGCCCAGAGTTCAAGCCCCATGACCGCCAAAAAAAAAAAAAGTTTGGGGACAATGTCCAGGCCCTGAGTTCAATGCCCCAGTACCAGCACCAAATAACATGAAATCAAAGCTGGCGTGTCTGTACCTGTAATCCCAACCCTTGGGAGACAATAGCAGGAGGATTTCAAGTTTAAGGCCAGCCTGGGATACATAGCAAATGAGACCGTGTCTCCAACAAAGAAACAAACAAGTCACTCAGAAGAGGCCTTAGATGGTGACCTTGACCTTGACCTTGAAAGGGGCAAAGGAAGAGGCTTCGAGCCATCAAGCCTCTGCAATCCCTGGGCACTGCCCAGTGGTATCTGGACTCAGCTGTGTGGCTTCCCCAAGGCCTAGGGGTCTGAGCCTGCCTCGAGACTCTCCTCTCAGGCTGGGCTGTGGTAATGGTGGCGTGGACTTGCATTGCTCAGCATCTTCCTGCTGCCTGGGACCTCAGGGTTCATAGATTGCTGTGGGTTCATCTCTCTGACTTCAGGGTGTGCACGCACATGCACACACACACACACACACGTGCACACACAAACACACCCAGCTTTCCATTATGACATCTGACTACCTTCTCCTCCTTCTCCTCCTCATCTCTAGGTTCGCAAGGAGCTGGAGGTAAATGGCATCGAATTCTACCCCCAAAAGGAATTTGATGAGGATTTAGAGGACAAGACAGAAAATGACAAAATCAGGGTGAGTAGCTGGGGGGGTCTGATCCTCACATGGTGGGGGAGGGGTCCCTCTGGGTACCCGGAATGTGTCACCTGTGTTTCCTCTCCAGACCCCTGGGCATTCTTGCTTGACCAGGCTTGGGGTGAGGAGGAGGGGGAGAAGGAGGAGGAGCAGGAGGGGGAGGAGGGGAGGAAAAAGGAGAGGGGGAGGAATGGACTAACACAGAACTAACATAGAGCAGCTTCCTGCACAGGAAAGCCTACATTTCCGCCTGTCTCCACACCCCACTACAGTGTGGGGCTGATAGGACCCCAAGCAGGGAAAGCACTGGGCTGGGGCCATTGGAGTCTGCTCTAGTGAGACTGTGCCTCAGTTTCTCCCTCATAAAATGTGGGGCAAGGAGGGATAGCTCATCTTAGCACATGTAATTTGGGGAGTGTGTGTGTGTGTGTGTTTCTAGTCCTGGAGCTTGAACTCAGGGCCTCGGCACTGTCCTTGAACTTTTTTTACTTAAGGGTAGAGCTTTATCACTTGAGCCACAGCTCCACTTCTGGCTTTTTGGTGGTTAATATGTTACAAGAGTCTTATGGACTTTTCTGCCCAGCTAGCTCAAACCAGGGTCCTCAGATCTCATCCTCTGAGTAGCTAGAATTACAGTCATGCGCCATTGATGCTTGGCACAGGTCCCTTTTTTTTTTTTTTTCAAATTCTTTATTGAGATTAAATGATTACATAATTTCTCAAATTTCACAATATTGTGGGATAGTGATGCTTAGTTAAAGTCACAAACACATTCTAACTTTCATGGGGCAAATTATCTGTCGTGGTCTATAACATTTATGAGTTCTATGAGCTTTGCAGTACAGTTATTTCTTCCACATTGGGTGGTATGTACATTTCCTTTGTTTTGCATAGCGTCAGCTGTTCCCTCTTTCCCACTTGTTCCCTCCCTCCCATGGCCACCATTGAATTGCTTAGTTCATTTTGATCAATGTCCAGTGCAGCTGATGGGTCCCATTGTCGTATGTTTTTCCCTGATTCCCTCTAGTTCTGTGTCACCTCCTGGTTTCCCTCCAGTGTGCACATATATACCATACATGTGATCAGCAGCATGGGGTTATTTAGTAGTGATTTGACCAGATGAATGGAAGTCCTTTGTTTCTAAAGTCTTGTTAAATTTATCATATCAACTTATGTTTTGGATTTAACATCCACTTATCAGGGAGACCATGTGCCGTTTGTCTCTTTGCTCTTGGCTTACCTCGCTCAACATGATTTCTTCTAGCTCCATCCATTTCCCTGCAAATGCCATTATTTTGTCCTTTCTAATGGCTGCATAATATTCCATTGTGTATAGATAACACAATTTTTGGATCCGTTCAGCTGGCACAGATCATTTTTATAAAATGTTTCTGAAATATTTGGCTTCACTGTCAGAGAGCATTCTACGCACATGCGCACTCAGCTTGCACAGTTCACTGGTGTGCCTTGAATGAAGGACCACACACAATAATGCTCCCATACAGTTCTTTTTTTTTTTTTTTGCCAGTCCTGGGGCTTGAACTCAGAGCCTGAGCACTGTCTCTAAGCCCTTTTGCTTAAGCTAGTGCACTACCACTTTGAGCCATAGTGCTACTTCCTCATGAGACTATCTCACTTACCTACCAAAAAATCCTGAAATGGAGCTGTGGCTCAAATGTTAGATCACCAGCCTTGATCATAAAAGCCAAAGAAGTGTGCCCAGGCCTTGAGTGTAAGCCCTAGAACCAACACACAACCAAAAACCAAACTATAGTTTGAAGGAAAGCTGACACAGTGAAGTTAACCAGCCAGGCAGTGATCAGGATTGTATCCAAGAATCCTGACTCCCATTCCAGTGCTGCTTTCAAGGAACAGAGGTTGGCCCCTGCCACCAGTTCTGTCACTGCATATAGGTATAGGTCAAGGTGAGATTTCTGGCACCATTTACTGTCCTGCTCTTGGATGATCAGGTCAAAGGAAGATGACTGCGCATGTGTGTCTGGTTTGTTTCTGTCCCCATTCAGCAGGAGAGCATGCCTTTCGCTGTGGTGGGAAGTGACAAGGAGTACCAGGTGAATGGCAAGAGGGTCCTTGGCAGAAAAACTCCCTGGGGGATCATCGAAGGTAATAATCCATTGCAGCTTACGGAAGAGCTGGCTGCTGATCAAGTACTCAGCAACCAGGTATTAAGAACGCATCAGTAGGTCAAGGTCCTGTCCTGGGATGCACCGTACATAATTCATGCCAGCCAGACTCTGCCTGAAAGTAGTTTTACATTTGTGCCAGTACTGGGGCTGGAACCCATGGGGCCTCACACTCTTTTTTGGGGGGGTGTCTGGTCGTGGGGCCTGAACTCTGGGCCTGGGCGCTGTCCCTCAGCTCTTCAGCTCAAGGCTAGCGCTCTACCACTTGAGCCACAGCGCCACTTCCGGCTTTTTTTTCTGCTTATGTGGTGCTGAGGAATCGAACCCAGGGCCTCAAGCATGCAAGGCAGGTGCTCTACCACTGAGCCACCTTCCCAGCCCCCCTCACACTCTTGCTTGGCTTTCTTGCTCATGGCTGGAGCGCTACGACTTGAGCCATGCCTTCAGTCCATCATTTTGCTGGTTACTTGGCGATGGTGTCTTGCAGAATTTTTTTTCTGTTCAGGCTGGCTTTAAACCTGTTATCTTCTAGGTGTAAGCCTCTTGAATAGCTAGGATTGTAGGCATGAGTCTCCAGCACCCAGAGTGCCCTGGGATTTTAAAAAATAACATTTTTTCCCCCTTGTTTTCCTTGAAATGGAGTTATTTCTAAGAATGTGTGTACCCTTTGTAAGACCACAGAAACATGTCTTAATTGTCTTCTGTTCCCACAATTCTTAGCAAATGGTTTAGGAAATGTGAGTACTCCATCTATGTTGAATTGGATTTTCCATGTACCATGTAGCATTTGACTTTTTAAAGATGACCCTGTGTTAAATTCTCTCTCTCTCTGTCTCTGTCTTCAATATGGAGATTGCACTCAAGGCCTCTTGCTTACTAGACAAACACTCTACCCCTTGAATCACATCCCCAGATCTTTTTTGGTTTAGTTTTCAAAGGGTTGATTGCAGGAATATACTACTATGTCCTGCATGTTTCTTGAGATAGGGTCTAATATTTTACCCATGCTGGCCTCAGATCCGGATCCTCCTATCTCTGCCTCATGAATAGTTGAGATTACAGGCAGGTGCAACTGTACCCAGCTCTTCATTCTACTTTCACTTAGATTAGAAACTATACATTAGGTCTTGGCAAGTTCAACTCTCTGAATGTTTGTTGTTTTGTTCTCTCTCTCTCTCTCTTTTGTTGGTCCTGGGGCTTAAACTCGGGGCTTGAGCACTGTCATTGTACTCTTCAGCTCAAGGTGAGCACTCTACCACTTGAGCCACAGCACCACTTCCGGTTTTCTAGTGGTTTATTGGAGATAAGAGTCTCACGGAGTTTCCTGCCTGTGCTGGCTTTGAACCTCGATCCTCAGATCTAGCCTTCTGAATAGCTAGGATTACAGGCGTGAGCCACCGGTGCCCAGCTCGTTTTCTCTTTTGTAAATGATAAAAAGGACATTTTCTATTACTACCGTTTCACCAAGTGTATAATAGTATTACATCATGCCATTTCAGCTGCTTAAGTATTTCTTCAATGAATAACATTTATTGCACCAGTTGGGTGCCAGTGGCTCACACCTGTAATCCTGTCTACTCAGGAGATTGAGATCTGAGGATCACAGATTAAAACCAGCCTGGGCAGATAAATCTGAAAGACTCTTATCTCCAGTTAACCAGCAGAAAGTCAGAGGTGGACGTATGGCTCAAGTAGTAGAGCACTAGTTTTGAGCAGAGAAATCGAAGGAAGAGTGCACACACACGCACACACACACATACATACACACACACATACGCACGCACACACACACACACATGAGTACACGAGGCCCTGAGTTCAAGAACCTCCAACACAAAGCACAAACTCTAGTGTTCCAAAGCGTGAGTAAGTTTCCTGAGGGGTTACACAATAACCTGTCCCTGTTCTCTTTAAATGTCTCCGTGATCCACACTGAAGTCACCTCCTGGTTGTAGCATTATGAAATGACCACCTGTTTTCTCTTGTTTCATTCATAGTGGAAAACCTCAACCACTGTGAGTTTGCCCTGCTTCGAGACTTTGTCATCAGGTGAGACATCTTCCCTCCCCTGTCTGGATTGCAGACTTATGATTTCAGTTGGGGACCATCCGCTCACACTTGTGACACTCCAGGTCTCTTTCTCTGCTCCTCTTTCCTCTTCTCTCCTCTCTCTCTCTCTTCTACTTCCTCTTTCTCTTCTTTGTCCTCTTTTTTTTTGGGGGGGGGTCCTGTGGCTTGAACTCTGGGCCTGGACACTCACCCTGAACTTCTTTTACTCAAGGCCAGTGCTCTACCACTTGAGCTACAGTGCAATTTCTGGCTTTTTTGAGTAGTTTATTAGAGATGAGAGTCTCATGGACTTTCCTGCCCAGGCTGGCTTTGAACTGTGATCCTCAGATCTCAACCTCCTGAGTAGACAGGATTACAGGTGTGAGCCACGAGCGCCTGGCTCCTCTCTCTTCTCTCTGCTCTCTCGTGTGCTGGTACTGGGGCTTGAACTCAGGGTCTTGGCAGCACTTTCTCTCAAAGCTAGTGCTGCTCTATCACTTGAGCCACAGCTCCACTTCCAGTTTCTTGGTGGTTTCTGGAAATCAGAGTCTCATGGACTTTTCTGAGGATCTCAGCCTTTTTTTTTTTTTTTTTTTTATCAGTCATGGGGCTTGAACTCTGGGCCTGAGCTCTGTCCTTCAGCTCTTCAGCTCAAGGCCAGCACTCTATCGCTTGAGCCACAGCACCACTTCCGATTTTCTGGTGGTTTATTGGAGATAAGAGTTTCACGGACTTTCTTGCCCAGGCTGGTTTTGAACTGGAATCTTCAGATCTCAGCCTCCTGAGTAGCGAGGATTGCAGGTGTGAGAGACCAGCATTTGGTTTATTCTCCAGGTCTCTGATGGCGCTTTCTGCCTCAGTACCAGCAGAAGGGGCTATGGGCTTACCATTGGCCGTCTGGAGTGGGTCTCATACAGGGTCCAGTCCATGCGCATGACCTAGCTTCACAGGCCAGTCACCTCTTCCTCTGCCTGCCGTTAATCGCATCCCCTGTCTTCTCACCTGTGTCCTCCAGGACCCACCTCCAGGACCTCAAGGAAGTGACACACAACATCCACTATGAGACTTACAGGGCCAAGAGGCTCAATGACAATGGAGGCCTCCCTCCGGTGAGCGTGGACACAGAGGAAAGCCACGACAGTAACCCATGATGACCCCTTCCTTCTCTGTGTCATCACACACACCTCACTTTTCCACACACACACGCATACCCCAAATACCACCTCCCACCTTCCTTTCAGCCCTGTCCCACAGGCCTGTCTGTTTGTGGAGTGTCTTGTGTACGTTGTATGTGTGTGCATGTGTGCATGCATGTGTGTATATGAGGAAAGCCTGTACACGTGTGTGTGTGCGTGCATGTGTGGGTGTGTGTGCTAGGGATGGGGTATTTTCATTGCCCTCCCTTGTAAGTCTGGTTCCCTCATGCCTGTCCATCCTCTGTCTCCTCTCTTTGTACCTCAGAACAAAGCCCTTTGCCCCAGTCCAGAGGTTCTAGGGGAGGTTATATTTGAAAATGATGGGGGCAGGGATGCCACAGGCAACTCCTTACCTCTAGCCCCACTCAGAATGGGGCTGACAAAGATTTTCTAAGGATAGGTGGCTGAGCTAGCCAGGGTGCAGGGTGACTTCAAGACATTCTTCCCTGTGAGTGGGGCTGGTCCAGGGTGAGGTCAGGTCTTTCTTGAGGCGATGAAAAGGAAGGTCACAGGCTGCGGAGAAGCCCGCCTGAGCTTCGTTCTCCAAGAAGGACTTAGTGCTTTGGTCTATGTCAAGGTCACTGTCCAAAAGCAACGTACCACCTGCTGCCACTGCACACCGCCGCTTTCCACGCTTGCCTTGCCTCTGCGCTGGGGCCAGTTGTCTGCCTCTGCTTTCTCCCTCCTTCCCTCATCTGTTTATGCATTCATATATTCATGTATTCATCTGTTCCTTCTTCCTGCCTGTCTCTGCCATCGTTCGCTTCCTTTTAGACTAACCCACGTGAGATTTGTCGCCATATTTAGAATTTATGCCCAGTCTATTTCCAAAACACGACTTTCGGCCATCCTGAACCAAAATTGCAACCGAACTGGACAGTGATAAACTGAGATTTCATGAAAAGACAGAGCCATAGACAAGAGTAAGAAAGGTTCTGGAGTTGAGTGCTAGAACTGACCCTGACCTTAGAGTGTGCCAAGGCAAGATGGAAACTGGGGTTACCCAGTTCCCAGTACCCTGTTCAAGGAAGCATACGTGCAGGTTAAGAAACAGCTTTTTGGGGACATAAGTTTCCAGAAAAACTATTGGAAATGAGATATAGCATTACTTGTAGTGGTTTGGCTTCAGAGACACTTTTTTTTTTAATTGGTCATGGGGCTTGAACTCTGGGCCTGGGCGCTGTCCCTGAGCTCTTCAGCTCAAGGTGAGTGCTCTACCACTTGAGCCACAATGCCACTTCTGGTTTTCTGGAGATAAAGAGTCCCATGAACTTTTCTGCTCAGGCTGGCTTTGAACCACAATCCTCAGATCTCAGCCTCCTGAGTAGCTAGGATAACAGGCATGAGCCACTGGTGCCCAGCCAGAGACACATTTTTTTTTTTGGTCGGTCATGGGGCTTGAACTCTGGGCTTGGACACTGCCCCTGTGCTCTTCAGCTCAAGGTGAGTGCTCTACTGCTTGAGCCACAGCGCCACTTCTGGTTTGCTACTGGTTTATTGGCGATGAGTCTCATGGACTTTCCTGCCTGGGCTGGCTTTGAACTGTGATCCTCAGATCTCAGCCTCCTGAATAGCTAGGATTACAGGCGTGAACCACCGGTGCCACTCCAGAGACACATTTTTAACCACATTTCCCTTTTCTCTTTTTGTCCCTCATTAAGCTGCTTCCTTATAATTCCGTTGGTGGCACACATGTCCCTCCTTTTTGCTTTTGTGCTGAAGTGAATTCCTTTCATGTCTGTCTGTCCGACTGCTTTTTCCTACTACCCCTTCCTCCCACACATGTTTTCCAGGACACCGGAAGCACACACTCAGCCTTTCCCACGATCCCTGTATTTATGAATGTAAATACTCCCACTGTGTATTACCCAAATAAGTTACCCCCTTTTTCCTTTGGCCTATAAGGTTACTGAAATGTAAGGCTGGGGAAACAATTTAGCTTCCTAGTTCAGCCAAAATTGGTCCTCTCTGAATGCCAGCTTTTATAATCCCAGTCCCTTACCGCTCAGGTGCTAGGGAGAAAAATAGACACTGAAGATGCTGGTCAGTGAAGCAGGAGGAAGAGAAGTGACCAGCTCACCAGTGCTCCTTATTGTGTAGTCTCAATCTTTTCCTGGAGCCTGATTTACCCAGCTCCCGCTCTCCTTTACCCAGACAGTGACTCCCAGGATAGGCGCTTGGCAGGCTCCCACCTTGCTACGTTGCAACCACTGAGGGTTCCTTATCTCCTAAGAGCAAGTACGACTGGGCATGTAGGACCATGAAGGAGAACCTCAAGGGGTGAGGGTGGTGGGCGTTGGGAGAGGCTGAGTTAGGAGAAGGGTGCTTGGCACCCCTAAACCTTAGCCTCAGTCTCCCTGGAGAAGCTGTCTTATGGGTCTTCTGCCAGCTGCTGGCCGCCGCACCCTCAACCTTTCTCCCCCTCCCCCTCCGCCCTGCAGGGAGAAGGCGTCCTGGGCACTGTGCTTCCACCTGTGCCAGCCACCCCCTGCCCCTCTGCTGAATGAAGGCCCTTCCAAGCGCCGCCTCTCCCTCCATTCTCTCAGCTGTTACTGCTGCAGACCAAGCCCCTTTTAGCGCTGTGCTGTCCCGCCCACCTCTGTCCCCGCCTCTCTCAGTCCGGTGGGAGGGGCCAGCTGCCTCTCTCCTTTGGCCAAACCACCCCCCTCCTCCCAGTGGAGTGGAGTTCTTGCTCTCACCCGCCTGCCTGCACTGCCCTGCTCCATCGTCTCTGTCTGCTGGTCCCAGGTCATCTGTAGGGAGAGTGAACTCACCCGGAGCTGCTTCTGCCTTTGCAAACCCAAACCAGCTACTTGTAACCAGCTTTCCTGGGGCGGGCATAGGGGCAGCATGGCTGCTATTCATTCATCTGCATGAGCTACTCTTGGCTTCCTTAAAGGCAACTTAAAGTCAGCAACTTTCATGTTTATCAGCCTCGTTGAGATCAGCTGTATGCACCCCATGTGGGATGGGGGCTTGCCTTCATTGCCTATCAGGATGGATTACTCCAGCTGCTGGGGAGCAGGGGCTAGCATCCGCTTGTATTTATTTTTAATCACTGGTGGCTAGCCCAGTGTGAGGGAACACACCCTCCTCACCACATAGTGTGAACACTTAGAGTGGGGTTGCCCAAAGAGAGATTGCTGAAGTTGACTTCCTTATTTCCCAAACTTAAAAAAAAAAAGGAGGAACTAGACCTATGAAATGGCAGAAATTCACAAAAATACAAAGAAAAATAGCACCCACATACATTTAGCAGTAAGAGGATCTTTATTCATTTTCCTTACTACTATAATTTCCCTCCCCCTCCCCCACCTCCTCCGTTAGCCTGGCCACAGGTGGTCACTGTTGGCTAATGGAAAATACCCATGGAGGGCAAAGCCCCCCCCATCAGATGCATGAATGTTTGTGAATGTCGGCTGCCACTGCCTACACTGTGTCTTTTTAGAACCCTTGCCCAAACTGCCTCCCCCCCCACAACTCCACCTTGACACAACTTGCTTCAGAGGCTGGTGAACACATGGTTCATTTTGTCTACAACCAAGTCTTCATGGAACAAGAGGCCCAAGCCTAGGGGAGGCAAGAACGACCCATTTCTGAAAATGACCAGTCCCCAGCCAAGCTTTTGGTGACATTCTGGTGAAATTCCCCAATGGAAAACAAAGCAACAGAAACTTCCAACTGGCCATGTAAATGTTGCTAGACTTTATGTGTTGTATAACTAAATATTGCTGTTTGAATTATAGCTGCCTGTTTTGTTTTTCTTTTTGGACTTATTTGTGTTCTTTACTCCTTGATCAAATTAGTTATTATATCATCTCACTTGAGAGGATGGGGCTGAGCCGGAGAAGAAAGAAGTAGTAAGAGATATTAGCCGGTGCTGATGGCTCACACCTGTAATCTTAGCTACCTGAGAGGCTGAGATCAGGAGAATCATGGAAGAGTGAATTTGCCCACTCTATTATTAAGACTCCATCTTAATAGTAGAAAGATGCTGGGTGGGATGGTGTGCTGCAGTGTCATCCCAACTTCTAAGGGAAGCCTAAAATATGTGGATCATGGTTCAGGAGTACAGCCAAGGCAGGAAGCAAGATCCTATTTCAAAAATTACCAGAGTGGCCAGGTGCCAGTGGCTCACGCCTGTAATTCTAACTACTCAAAGAGGCTAAAATCTGAGGTTTGCAGTCCAAAGCCAGTCCAAGCAGAAAAGTTTGTGAGACTCTTATCTCCAATTAACCACCAGAAAGCCTGAAGTGGCTGTGGCTCAAGTGGTAGACCACTCACCTTGAGCTGAAGAGCTCAGGGATGGTACTTAGGCCCAGAGTTTAAGCCCCATGACTGACAAAAAAACAAAACAAAACAAAAAAAACAACAAATCACCAGAGTGCTAGGTGCTGTTGGTTTGTGTGTATAATCTTAGCTACTCAAGAGGCTGATGTTGGAAGACTGAGGTTTGAAGCCAGCCTAGGAAGGAAAGTCCATGAAATTCATGTCCAATAAACTACTCAGAACAAGCTGGAAGTAGTACATTAGCCTTGAGCAAAAGAAGCTCAGGGACAGTGCCAGGGCCTTGAGTTCAAACCCCAGAAACAGCTAAATAAATAAATAACCGAAGTAAAAAAAGGAATGGAAGCATGACCTAGTGGTAAAGCACATACCTTAGCATGTATGATGAGGTCTTGAGTTTAAATCTCAATACTACCAGGAAAAAAAAAAAAAAAGAAAACCACAGCTATTAGAGATGGAAGCACTTTATGAGATCAGTTCATTGCAATGTAGCATAAGGTCAGATTCCAGTCATTATTTCTCAGGATTCTGTATCCTAAATGAATGTTATCACACTTGACTTCATATTTTCTAGGTTTTGCCTTTCTCCATGAAAAATGATGTTTAATGAAATTCCTCGTCCTCCACTTTCTCTCCTGAATGCATAAGGACCAGCTCTGTGGAGAAAAAAAAAAAGTGGACCAGAAAGCTATTTTACAATGAATATTTTAAAAAAAGAATTTATACTGAAACAGTAGCTTGTATCCTCTTTGAATTTAAGCCTTGAATTTAAGTACTTCTCTCCTTAAGAGGTTCATTCACTTTGGTAACCATCAAACAACATAATTTTAATCTGTATACTATCTCTCTAAAATTGAGTGTGTCATATATTTGCAGTGAGTACGAGGTATGGTTAAAAAAAATGGTTCAGGGGCTGGGAAGGTGGCTCAGTGGTAGAGCGCTTGCCTTGCATGCCTGAAGCCCTGGGTTCGATTCCTCAGCACTACATAAGCAAAAAGAAAAAAGCCGGAAGTGGCGCTGTGGCTCAAGTGGTAGAGCATTAGCCTTGAGCTGAAGAGCTGAGGGACAGTGCCCAGGCCCAGAGTTCAGGCCCCACGACCGGACCCCCCCCAAAAAAAATGGTTCAGAGGGGTTGGAATTGGAGAAAGATGAGTCACAAGGTTCTTGTGAGTCAAGCAAAATAATGAAGATGGAAATAGAATGGTGACACAAGACAGATAGCAAAAAATGACTGGGAGTGTAGTTTGGTGGTTATAAAGTATCACAGCCAAAGAAACCTAAGAGCTCTTCAAGTTCAATACCACGGTACAGATTAGGAAACTGATCTAGAGAATATAATCCTTAGCATGGCAGTATGGAGACTAGATCTCAGTACATGGTCCAGTACACAATAACACTACTTATTTTGTACTTGTATTTGGGGGGAAAAATTGAAATTAGGATGTATTTTATGACTAGTAGCATGTCGGTTTACTTGACAACATTTTCCCCTCGCTGGTATGTTAGTAACTGACATCTTGAATTCATGAAAACACGGTAATCAAGTATTTGTGAGGTTGAAGGGCAATTAGGACGCACACTACTCTTCAGAGCAACTCTGGTGAGTGGATCCCTCTGGATGCTCACAGTCCCCTTTTAGGGGAGGCAGAGCAGGAATGATGGCCATCACAGGCTCTCTGCGCTCGGTGGAAATTCGCCTTCCACTGCCGGACGACCCACTTCCACAGGTCCTTCTCTGGATCTAGATCCAAGCTTTCTCTGGAGGAAAGGTCTGCTGATCTTTGGAAAAGCAAAACAAACTGATCTTGTCTCTAAAAGCAGCTTCCTGGCCCGCATGGCCTCGCTACACAGGTGTGACAATCCCTGGAAAAGCCCGAACGAAGCAGGCCAGAGGCACCTCTCACCTACCTATTAGGCCCTCCCCATCCGGGGGCGGGACCCACTAAATTTCACGTGACAGCAGCCTCGCCCACTCACGGCAGCCTTTGCGCCATAATCCCCGCCCCTCTCCTGGCCCCGCCCCTTGCCTTAGCTCCGGTCCCTCCCCTTCCCATCCAAGGGGCGGCGGGAGGGGCCCGGAGCAAGATGGCGGTGAACCTGAACCACAGTGAGAACCGCCGCGGGGTGGTCGTCCCTCAAGGCGAAAGGTGACCGAGGGGATGCCCCGGATTGCTGCGGAGGCGGGAGGAGATAAGTGGGGTAGCCGGGGCCGGTTCTCTGGCCGGTTCAGTTTCCCGCCTTTTTCGGGCACGTGGTCCTGGAAGATTGCGGGCGGGCCGGAGCACGTGACCCGACGCGTGGCGGGCGGGTGGGAGCGGCGTCCCGCGGCGGAGGAGGGCACTGCGGGGACGCGCCCGCCCCGACGCCCGCAGTGAGGCCTTGGGGAGGAGGGACGAGGGGGGCTGTGTGGCACCTGGGGGAAGGATCTGGAGCCTTCGAAGCCCTCCCCTGGTCCTCGGAATTTCCCAAAGCCCCTTCCACCGCCCGCCCGCCCCGGTCCGGGAGAGGGACGCCTGTCCTGCCGTTGGGCCTGCCCGGGGCACGTCCCGCATGGCTCCCGCGGCCTCCCCCCGGCCTGGGGGAGCGGGCCCTTAGCTTTTCCATTGGAGGCTGGCGCTCCACTACATCTCCACCTCCGGTTTCTTGCTGGTTAATTGGAGATGAGTCCCTTGGATTTGTTTGTCCCGACTTGTTTGGAACTGAAATCCGCAGATCTCTGCCTCAACCCCCACCCTAAGTAGCTAGGATTACAGGCCAGAACCACCAGTGCCCAGCTCATTACAAGTTAAGCATCCCTTATCTAAGAAATCTAAAATCAGGGCTGGGAAATTGGTTCAGTGGTAGAGCGCTTGCCTTGCATGCTTGAGGCCCTGGGTTCGATTCCTCAGCACCACATAAGCAAAGAAAAAGGAAAAGCCGGAAGTGGCGCTGTGGCTCAAGTGGTAGAGTGCTGGCCTTGAGCTGAAGAGCTGAGGGACAGCGCCCAGGCCCAGAGTTCAGGCCCCATGACCTGACCAAAAAAAAAAAAAAATCTAAAATTCTCCAACATCCAAAACTTTGCCAGTACGATGCCTCAAGTGGAAATTAATTACTTCCTTCCTTCCTTCCTTTTTTTGTCGGTTGTGAGGCTTGGACTCTGGTCCTGGGCGCTGTCCCTCAGCTCTTCAGCTCAAGGCCAGCACTCTACCACTTTAGCCACAGCGCCACTTCCAGCTTTTTTCTGCTTATGTGGTGCTGAGGAATCGAACCCAGGGCCTCCTGCATGCAAGGCAAGCACTCTACCACTGAGCCACCTTCCCAGCCCAAAAATTCTTCTCTATGGAACTTTTTTTCACATGCAACACTGTTAAAAATATTGTATAAAATTACCATCAAATTTTATGTATAAATTGCATTTGAAATATAAATGAATTCTATGTTTAGACTCAGTCTCGAAAATCTTACGATGAGTATGAAATATTCGAAAATCCAAACTATCCCAAGCATTTTGATAAGGGCTTCTTAATTTATTCTAAAAAATCAGTATATGTGGTTCAGGCCCCTAATCCTAGCTATTGGGAGGCTGAGATCAGGAGAATTGAGGTTTGAAGCCAACCTGGGCAGAAAAGTCTGTGAGACTCCATCTCAGCTGAAGAAGCTGGCAGGAAGCAGCATCCCATTAAAAATATATATAGGGCTGGGAAGGTGGCTCAGTGGTAGAGCGCTTGCCTTGCATGCATGAGGCCCTGGGTTTGATTCCTCAGCACCACATAAGCAAAAAGCAAAAAGCCGGAAGTGGCACTGTGTCTCAAGTGGTAGAGCGCTAGCCTTGAGCTGAAGAGCTGAGGGACAGCGTCCAGGCCCAGAGTTCAGGCCCCATGACCTGACCCAAAAAAAAAAAAAAAGAAAGGAAAAAGGTATACTGTGAGTCAGGCACCAATGACTCACACCTATAATCATAGCTACTCAGGAGGCTGAGATCTGAGAATCAAGGTGTAAAGCCAGCCCAGTTAGACAAATCTGAGAGAGATTTGTCTCCTTTAACCAGCAAAAAGCGGGGCATGGCTCAAGTGGTAGAGCATCATCATTGACTGAAAAGGCTAAGCAAAACCATGAGGTCCAGAATTCAAGTCCAAGTACCATTGTGCTTGTGCACACACGCACACACACACACACCTACACACCTACCTAGTGCAAAAAAGGAGGCATGACTTAGTAGTAGAGCACCTGCCTACAGAAGTGCAAGCCCTTATGTTCAAACCCCAGTACTGCCAAAAAGGAAATCAGAATTTGTTAGTAATTAATCATGAAGGGAATGACTTTTAATAATGTAAGTAAAAATACTAACAATGATCATAGTGATGCTGTTGTCATCCCATGAAAAAAGTATGAAAATGATTTAGTTGATATTTTATTGTGAAATTTATTCATTTCTCCTTGGTTTACACAAGGACTTCTGAAATAAATTCAGTCTTTAAAGCAGAAACATCAAAAAGCATATTTCAACAGGACTTTCTAAAAGGAAATTTGGGGGCAGGGGGCGTAGAATTTTTAATTAATTTTATATACAAAGTATTATATTTACGCTAAAATATCTATTGCAAAACTGCCCTACGATATATTGTTTCAATACTCCCAAGTGCCCATTTCACCTTAAGCCTTTCCCCAAACTGTCCACATTAAATAATTCCCCTTTCCTCCTTTTCCTGAGCCCCGGTAAGAACCATCCTACTTTGTTCCTATGTATTTGGCTTTAGATACTCATATCGATGAAATCCTGTAGTATTTGTCTTTTGTGACTGGTTTATTTAATTTTAGTTTCCTCAAGATTTGTCCAGGTTGTAGCAGTAAAGGTTGGTCAAAGGAGATTATCATACAGTTCAGGCAGAAGAGAGTTTATTTGGAGAGCCAAACCACCAGGCTGCATGCTAGAGCAGGGTGTAGCAACCTGACTTAGTTGCTGGATGTGTTGTCTTATCTAGGGCAAAAGGTGGAAGTTGCCTTAGAGTCTAGGGCCCTTTTACTAAATCACAGTCAGGCGCTTGATGATTACTTGGTGATTACAGGTTTCCAGCAGGTAATTTCTGGCAAGGCTACAGTACTGTCTTTTGTGAAGAGAAAGTTAGGGAAAGTGGGCTGTTATCCTGGGCTGACCTAAAAGTAGCGTGTTACAGCATTTCTTTTCAAGTTTGAATACTATTCCATTGTATAAGGTTCCATATTTTATCTTTAGATCTATTGATAGGTATTTAGGTTACTTATACTCTTGGCTATAGTAGCTAGTGATAATATGAATATAAGTAAAACCATGAGAACTCTTTATATACGAAAAAATGGTTCCATAGAGATAGGTTGTTGTTGTAGCACTGTTCTCTCCAAATCTCTGTTCCCTCCAGATCTCTGTTTCCAAAACTTTTCTTTGTTCCAGTCCTGGGACTTGAACTCAGGGCCTGGATGCTGTCTCTGAACTTTTGTTCAAGGCTAGTGCTCTATCACTTGAGCCACTGCTCCACTACCAGCTTTTATGGTCATTGACTAAAGAGAACTATGTCATGGACTTTGCTGTCTGGGCTGGTTTCGAACTGAGATCTGAGGATCTCAGCCTCCTGAGTAGCTAGGATTACAGGCATGAACCACTGGCACCTGGACCAGACTCATTTTTCACTGTAAGACCACCTGGGCTAGGTTATAGCAGCAAGTCACATGTAATCATAATAGTATTGATCACCCTTTCTTGGTTGACTCAATAGTTATATATTTCATGGTCTCTTCTTCAGTTTACATTTGTCCACAGGCAATAAGTATTCTTTTGTAATATATTATTCTCTTGAAATATGAAGTCAGGTCAATTGCTGTTATTACAAGCTCAAACGAATGTTTTTAACAGCCACTTACTTAGTTTCTGGAAATTGTCTAAAGAGTTTTGGGAGGTCAAGCTGGTGACATTGTCAGGCTTCTGCTAAGCTCACATCTCAGCTGAGTGCCATCATAATAGAGAACAAATGGTGTGTGTGTGCATGTGAGCGTCTGTAAAGCTTTCTTTGTTTTTGTGTTGTTTTTGGTGTGTCAGTACCAAAGTTTGAGCCTGTATGCTTTTGTTTTGGTCGGTTGTAGGGCTTGAACACTAGGTCTGGGCCCTGTCCCTCAGCTCTTCAGCTCAAGGCCACAGCACCACTTCCGGTTTTCTGGTGGTTAATTGGAGATGAGTCTGACAGACTTGCTAGCTTTGAACTGTGATCCTCGGATCTCAGTCTCCTGAGGATTACAGGAGTGAGCCTAGATTTCAGAATTCTGAAAACATTGATTGATGGATTTTACCAGTTTATGCATTGCTTTTGTGGCAAGGTTGACATTCCAGGTTTCCTATTTTGCTATTTTTCTAATATTCTGTATTTTCTTAAACTTAAAGAAAAGTGAGGTGCTTGTGGCTCAGCCTATATCCTGGCTACTCAGGAGGCTGAGATCTGAGAATGGTAGTTCAAAATCAGTCCAGGCAGGAAAGTCTGAAATTCTTATCTCCAATTAACTACCAAAAAGCCAGAAATGGAGCTTATCTCAAGTGCTAGAGCGCTAGTCTTGAGTACAAAAGCTCAAGAACAGTGCCAAGGCCCCGAGTTCAAGTCCCAGGACTGGTGCATGTGTGTGACTGTGTGTATATGGGTGTGTGTAGGCACACACACACACACACACTCAGCCCTTTCCTTTTCGTCTGCATGCTACTACTCTAATTCCACTTCTTATTGCCTTATATCAGAACTATTTTACAAACTCAAACTGAACCTTGCAGTGTACCACGTCCTCAGCCATGTGATTCCCTCTGAGAAATATGCAGCCTTCACTTCCTCCAGGTCTGTCAAATGATGCTTCGAGGCTCTAATCCCCGCTAGGCCCTCTTTACTGTACCCCACTGTTGACAATCCTCTTTTTTTTTTTTTTTGTTCGGTCATGGGGCTTGAACTCTGGGTTTGGGCGCTGTCCCTCAGCTCTCCAGCTCAAGGCTAGCGCTCAACCACTTGAGCCACAGCGCCACTTCTGGTTTTCTGGTGGTTCATTGGAGATGAGTCTCACGGACTTTCCTGCCCGGGCTGGCTTTGAACCAAGCTTCTTAGCTCTCAGCCTCTAGTAACTAGGATTACAGGCGTGAGCCACCAGCACTTGGCGACAGTCCTTTGCTCCTGTGCTTTGGGTGTGATGAAGCCCCACTGCCCAGTTTCCCCCACCTGTGCAGTTGCTTTCTGTTATCCATTCCTGCTTTTCCATTAATGCTGGTGACCTGCTGATTGGATTGGCCCCTCCTTCCCCTCTGCCCATGGAAATGCTGCCTTTCTCTTCAATCAGCCCAAACTACTGCCCTCCTATGAGGCCATTCATAATTGTTTCACCCATTAAATTGCTGTGACATTTGTGTTCCACTTTCAACATGTGGGTCACCTATTGCTAGTGTGTCACCTATGTCACTTTTCATTTATTCATCCAACATATATTTTAGCAACACTTCATCTATGCTGGGGCTATGGTAGCAAAGAAGGCAGTCATTGTCTAAAATCAGGGGAGGACATCAAACAGATAAACACACAGGTTTAGTAATTATTAAGGAAGAAAAGCTGGGCGCCAGTGGCTCACACCTGTAATCCTAGCTACTCATGAGGCTGAGATCTGAGGATTGTGGTTCAAAGCCAGCCTGGGCAGGAAAGTCTCCAATAAACCACTAGAAAACCGGAAGTGGCGCTGTAGCTCAAGTGGTAGAGTGCTTTCCTTGAGCTGAAGAGCGCAGGGATAGCGCCCAAGCCCAGAGTTCAAGCCCCACGAACAACCAAAAAAAAAAAAAGAAAGAAAAAAGCCAAGAGGAGTCTGGGAGTGGGAAAAGGATGAGTCTAAGCTTCCTAGGTTAAGATAAAAGGGAACATCTTACCTTACCTACCTTCTTTAAAGAATGTTTCTTCAAAGAAACTCACACCTGTATTCTAAGAACTCAGAAAGCTGAGATCTGAGATCACAGTTTGAAGCCAGCCTAGGCAGAAATTTTGTGAGACTCTTATCTCTAACCAGCAAAAAACTAGAAGTGTGGCTTTGGTAGAGCACTAGCCTTGAGCAAAGAAAAATGAAGGGAGCTGGGTATTGGTGGCTCATGCCTGTAATCCTAGCTACTTAGGAGGTTGGAGATCTGAGGATGTGGTTCAAAGCCAACTTGGGCAGAAAAGTCCCTGTGAAACTCTTGTTAACCACTAAAAAACTGGAAGTGGCTCTGTGGCTCAAGTGGTAGAGTGCTAGTCTTGAGAGCAAAGAGGCTTAGGGACAGTGCCCAGGCCCTGAATTCAAGCCTGAGGACTGGCAAAAAAAAAAAAAAGGAGTATGTCTTGGTCCTGAGCCAGACCCAGTACTGGCCTGCGCACCCATGCACATGCTTGTGCGCACGCGCACGTACCCATACACAGAGAAACATCTCAGTACTTTACATGTACTGCCCAAGAAATATAATAATTAATGAATAAACATTGAGAAGAAAAAGAAAATCCAGTGATAGAAGAGCAAGAGTAAATAAGATCAAACAGTTCCTTTATGGTTAATTAAAATAGTAAGAGTAACAACTGACATTTATTGAGTACCTACTAGACTACACAGTGTACTAAGTGTGAATGTGTCATTTTGACATTTTTTTTTTTCTTTTTGGATGGTACCAGGGATTGAACTCATGGCCTTGCACATGCTAGAAAAATACTGCTGAGTTCTATGTGCAGCCATTTTAGTAAGTTCTTAATTGTGTGCTGTCGGTCATTCCTTTTCTGCAGTATCTTGAAGCAGTGTTCAGATGTGGAGCTCTCCTTCCCACACTCACCGCGGGGCTCCAACTTCTTTAATGGTACAAAGAGGGGAACGTTGTTTCTCACTTCATTCCGGGTAATTTCCACTTCTCCTTTGATTTACCGATTAATTCCACATTTGTTTTCCTTCAAATTGGAGAGAAGTTAAACATTGTTTTTCAAAGTATTTTAAAAACCAATTTACTTTGAGGCTTTTTTTTTTTTTAATGAGGAATTGACTAGGAATTTGGCCTAGAATGCCAAAGCAGCCTTGACTTGTCCTTATAAGTCTATCCACGGACAAACTCTGTATTCCTTTTCCAAAGTTTCTTTCCTCACATAGGTGATTTTTGTGACTTCGCACTCGGTCAATGATCCCATGTTGTCTTTTATGATGCCATTCGGTCTGATGAAGAACTGCACTATTGAACAACCAGTGTTGGGTGCAAACTACATTCAAGGGACCATTCAGGCAGCTCCAGATGGTAAGTTCCAGATGGTAATTCCTCCTCACAAGTGGAATTTTTGGATCCCATTGTAATCCTAGCTACTTGGGAGTCTGGGATCTGACCATTGTGGTTTGAAGCCAGCCTGGGAAGGAAAATCCAGGAGACTCATCTCCAGTTAACCATTATAAAAGCCCAATGTGGAGCTGTGGCCCAAATGGTAGGGTGCCAGTCTTGAGTGAAAAGGTTAAGGGAGTGTACCCAGCTCTGAGTTCCAGCCCTAGTACTAGCATAAAACAAACAAAAAAGGAATCTGCTTTTTTTTCCTTTAGAAGGGTTGAGATTCAAACTTGGCTGTCATTGGAGTTCAAAGCACATCAGCCTGCTCGGGGCACTGCTTCTTCAGCGGCAGTCCTTGTGCTGCCAGCGGCGCCAGTCTCTGAGTCTGTGCCTTTTCTCCCCCAGGTGGCTGGGAAGGACAGGCTATGTTTAAACTAGTCTTCCGGAAAGGAGGTGCCATCCACTTTGCCCAGCTGATGATGCAAGCTGCTTCTGCTGGTGAGCAGTGCTGATGAAGATTCAAGGAACTGACGCGGGACAATTATTTGGGCAAAATTTGTTATCCAGCAGGCATTTCTTGGGCCTACCTGCTATCTGCCAGTCCCAAACTAAGGCAGAGACCCCCAAGACTATTTAGGGGGAGACTGTGGTCTAGTGGGGACTTGCACAAAGCTACCTAGAAGATTAATTCTACCTGATTGTCTTTTGTCCTTTAATTCTGGTCTCTTGTACTCATGAGTGAGCCCCAGGTGCTTTAGCTCTTCTTCCTGTGGAATGGCTTTGGATCTTCTAGCCTCTCTGGTCTTGTATTTGCTTCTCTTTTGTTACTCTTGTCTTCCATGAGAAGAGAGTGGAGGTACTTTCCTACACAGAGAACTTAAACTTTGACCACAAATTATCTTTTTGTGCTGTATTTTTGTCTAACCTACCCTTGCTTTATTCTCCAACCAGTTGGGACTCTTTTGTACCCTATTCTGTTTCAACTGAGCCTTCATGCTATTTGGTGTGCTAGGAATGCACTTTTCCTTTCTCCCTTGTCTTCCCCCTCCAACTCTAGTAGGGACAGACATGTTATATATACATAGGGCTCTATCAAGCTGACCTCAAATGTGTAGTACTTCTCCTCAGTCTCCTGAGTGCTGGGATTACAGGCAGGCACCACCATACCTAGCTCTGTATATACATTTATTTTGATTCCCTGAAGTGTTACTGGATATACATGCAAAGTGGTGGTTAATATTCTGTTAAATATTTTGATAGCTGCTATATTATCTGTCTTAAAAGAATTCCTATTTTTGCCAAACTTTATTTTCTCAGCTGCTCATGGAGTTCCACTTGGTGTCCCAAATTACTGGATCAGCCCTCCAGGAATTTATGTTGTTACTGGGGAGGGGAGCATGTGCACTCCAGAGACACCTTGTCAAGGTAAGATATGCTGAGGAGATGGAAGAGTATGCCAGATGACTTCAGAATTACTCTCTGTAGCCTTGCCTAAACTGCTGCAGCTATAGCCTAAGTTTGGGGGTTTAGAAAATGATTGAGTAGAGCTGGGAATGTGGCTAGTGGTAGAGTGCTTGCCTCGCATGCATGAAGCCTTGGGTTCAAGTCCTCAGTATCACATACACAGAAAAGGCTAGAAGTGGCACTGTGGCTTAAGTGGTAGAGTGCTAGTCTTCAGCAAAAGAAGCTCAGAGACAGTGCCTAGGCCCTTAGTTCAAGCCCCAGACAAAGAAAGAGAGAGAGAGAGAGAGAGGGAGAGAGGGAGGGAGGGAGGGGAAGGAAAGAAAGAAAGAAAGAAGGAAAGAAAAAAAGAAAAGAAAGGAAAGAAAAAAATAAATGGTCGAGTCCATACTTTGTTTCCAAATTAAAATCCAGTGGCAATTTAGCAAATTAGACTTGAAGCTCAGAGTTACTGCATCTATGTGTGCTTGTCTTAGAGCTTGAATTCAGGTGCCTTAGCTTTTTGCACAAAGGTGGGTGCTTTACCGCTTGAGGTACACCTTACAGCTTTTTGGTGATTAATTGGAAATAAGAGTCTTACAGTCTTTCCTGCTTGGGCTGGCTTTGAAACAAGATCCTCAGATCTCAGACTCCTGAATAGCTAGGATTATAGGCACTTGGCTAGCTCTCCTTGTGATTTCTTGGGCTCTTCTTGTTCTCTCCTTGGAATACAATTTCTCCTTTGTTACTTTGATTCTTTTCAATCAGCATCCTGAGATCTAGGAGTAAAGGTGTGTACTACTACATGTGTCTATTCATTCCTGTTTCAATATTTTTTACTTTCTAGCATTTTCTTTTTTTAATTAAAATCTACTTTATTAAAACTGTAGATGAATAAAAATATCTAGAGCACATGATCTCAGTAAGAGCTTTGCCATCTTCAGAAGATTGCTGTAGCTTAGGCATGCTGCTTCTCAGTTCTCAGGTGGCTGCAGTTGCTCAATATTCCTCATTATACCATTCCACTTCCCATTGAAGAAAAAATGAGGCCCAGGATAGACAATGATAGAATATTAGTATTTTCCTGACATCAATCTTGATGGATATAGAAAAAAGTATTCAACTATGGGAATATGGAGACAATTAAATACACTTGAAGTTGCTTAGGTAGTTGTCTGGGTAAAATGGAGAAGCCAACCATTTGACCTGCTTGGGTGGATAAAGTTGCAGGTTGTGACAAAGATTTGGCTTGCTCAGTAATGCATGAGATTGGTGACACTTCTTTTTTGGCTGGTTAATTGGAAGTAAGAGTTTGTTGGATTTGTATGCTTGGGCTGGCTTCAAACCACTATTCTCAGATTTCAGTTTCTTGAGTAGGTAGGATGATAGACATGAGCCACTAGCACCCAGCCCTAGGCACCAGTTCTTGGAGTGGTGAAATTCTTTGGAAGTTAATGTTAGTGAAGGTTGCTAGGGATTAGTGGCTCATACCTGTTGTAATCCTAGCTACTTGGAAGGTTGAGATCTGAGAAACTGAAATTTGGGCCAGCTCAGGGAGAAAAGTTTGTTAGATTTCATTGTCAAAACAATCAGCAGGGCTGGGAATGTGGCTTAGGGGTAGCGTGTTTGCCTAGCATGCATGAAACCTTGGGTTTGATTCTTCAGTACGACATAAACAGAAAAAGCCAGAAGTGGAACTGTGGCTCAAGTAGTAGGGTATTAGCTTTGAGCAAAAGAAGCTCAGGGACAGTGCCCAGGCCCTGAGTTCAAGCCCCAAGACTGGCACAAAAACAAAAACAAAAAACAAAGCAATCAGCAAAGTTGGGCGTCAGTGGCAAGGAGATCTGAAGATCGTGGTTCTAAACCATCTATGATGAATGCAGGAAAAGCCATTGACTATGAGTTCATGTGAAGTTGGAGCTAGCCCTGCTTAATGTGCTTCCATGCTCCTGGTTGTGAACTTAAGAGGCAGGTGTGAAAGGCTTTTGCACCAGGAACTCAACATCATTCTGTTTGGGAGCTACCTGATTTGAACACCAGAGTCTTCATTGAAATTATTAGTTGAGTCAGTTGGTTTACAGTACTTAAGGAATTTGTTTAAAATCTTTTTTTTATAAAATTAGAACAAATGTATTAGTAAAGAAGAGCTGGGTTCATAATATAGAATATATCATATGCTATTTACTTACCATCTAGCATTTAATATCCTCAATTTAAGCATATATTATACCGATTAGCTTTACAATTGTCCAATCACTTTGGGGATTGTAATCAAGGAAATAAAATTTATTGCAATATTAATTGGAAATAAAATGCTTTCCAGCATCAAGGAAATTACGTACCTTTTATTCACGTGCTGAAATATGATCCAGTTTTTAATGTATGTAGTAAATGTAAGAAACAATTAACAGAAAAGAGCTATGTAAAACTATGATCAATATGATCATGGTGATATAAAGATATATACAAATTCTACAAAGAAATAGCATAAAAGTAGCACTGTGGCTCAAGTGGTAGAGTGCTAGCCTTGAGCTGAAGAGCTGAGGGATAGTGCCCGGGCCCAGAGTTCAGGCCAACGACCGGACCCAAAGAAAAAAGAAAAAAAAAAAAAGAAACACCATAAATATTATTGTTTGGTGATAGAATTAAAGATGACTTTTTCTGTATTCACCCTCTTCTGTTTTCTAAAGAATATGTCTCATTAAGCATGTAATACTTTATTCACAATCCAATTTTTATTTAGTAAAATATGTATCTATGCCCAACTATGTATAGATCTGACCATGGGTGGTTCAAATCTCAAAAACAGGCACTGATAAAAACCTTCCACTGGCCATGTATAAAGGAAAAAGTTTGCCGTTGCTCTGTTCAAATTCTCTATCACTTTGCTTCAGCATTACTTTCTAAGTTCTTCTTTCTCACTTATTCTTTATCCACAGGATAATTCAGTATTTTTTCCTTCTTTTTGGCATTCCCAGTTTTTGTGTATGGAGCACCCCCGGTAGGATATGGAGCCCCTCCTCCGGTATATGGCGCCCCTCCTCCTGGATATGGAGCCCCCTCTGCAGGATATAGAGTACCCCCTGCAGGATACCGAGCCCCCACAGCCGGATACGGGGTCCCTCCACCAGCATATGGCCCGCCTCCTGCTTACGGAGCCCCAACCCCTGCATATGGAGTCCCGCCTCCTGTGTATGGAGCCCCACCTCCGCCACACGGAGTCCCACCTCCTGCCTATGGAGCCCCACCTTCCGCACACGGAGCCTCGCCCCCTGCATATGGAGCTCCGCCCTCCGGATATGAAGTCTCTCCCTCAGGAATGGAGGCCCAGCATGTTAGACATGGAGCCTCCCCTTCTGGGTACCCATCCCCACTTCCTGTACCCAGAGTCTCATCTGCAGCCCCACCTGCTGCCCCACCTGCCAACTCTGTGGCAGGTCAGACTCCTGGAAATGAGGCTTCGCCTCCCTCTACCTCTTCTCCGCCCAATTCTGGTCCTTCTAAGATGTAAGCCTTGATTTACCGAGCAAAAGGACACCCAAACATGGAAATCAAGCCATGGAGAACAAACGACTCAGGTATATGATCACAGACCCATGCCAGGTGGTTAAGTCACACTTTGAAAAGGCAAGTCTTAAGGGAAAGCCAAGCTTTACTGTCATGTCTCGATTTTAGAAGCAGAGTCAACTTTTGATTAGCCAGGCTAGAGGAGGAGTAGCCCTATTCCTAGTAATTTGGTTGACATTAGCTGTGTTGAAACACTCTGAGCTGGTCGCCAGTGGCTCATGCCTGTAATCGTAGCTACTCAGGAAGCTGAGATCTGAGAATCACTGTTCAAAGCCAGCCCAGGCAGGAAAGGTGGTGAGGCTCCTATCTTCAATAAAGTACTCAGAAAACCAGAAGTGGTGCTATGGCTCAAGAGCTAGAGCGCTTGCCTTGAGCTGAAGAGCTGAGGGACAATGCCCAGGCGCAGAGCTAAAGCCCCTTGACCGATTAAAAAAAAACTAAAAAAAACAGTCTGAATGTGAGCTTGGAAAAAGCTTTCTTCCCATCCCTATTCAAGAAACAGTTACATTTCCTTTGCTAGGCACCTTGAATATCACCTTGAATACAGTTTTTTTCACAACATTATGAACATTAGTGAAAGGATGAGAATTTTATAAATTATAATATAGCTGTACAACTATTATTCTTGTTAATATGTTTAGAGGTAGATAAAGCAGCCTTTGAGAAGACTAGCAAGAACGAAACAAAAGGAAAAGCTTGAGAAAAATGAGTATATAAAATCTAAAGCTTTGGGGCTGGGAAGGTGGCTCAGTGGTAGAGCACTTGCCTTGCATGCATGAGGCCCTGGGTTCGATTCCTCAGCACCACATAAGCAGAAAAAGCTGGAAGTGTTGCTGTGGCTCCAGTGGTAGAGCGCTAGCCTTGAGCTGAAGAGCTGAGGGACAGCGCCCAGGTCCAGAGTTCAGGCCCCACAACCGGACCCCCCCAAAAAAAAATCTAAAACTTAATATGACAAAGATTAAAAGATAAATAATTGTCCAGCAGATGTCATATATGTTAATAAAAACAATTTGTAGTCAGACTATATGAAGAACCACAGTACAATAAAAAAAAAAGGAAATGGATAAGAGATATTGCTGAGGCAATAACATGGTAAAAAAATACTCAAAAAGGAGGCTCAACTTGGCTAGTGTTAGAAATATAACTTGAAATGAGAAATGATTATCTCTAAAGATTTACAAATTTGAATATTTTGTGTGGTGTTGAGGATAGAGACTAGGGCCTTACACATGCTGGGGCACTTTACTACTGAGCTACATCCTACCCTTCTTTAATTTTTTTTTTGTAGTGAGTCTTAAACTCAGGTCCTCATGGTTTTGCTTGGCTTTTTGCTCAAAGGCTGGCCCTCCACCACTTGAGCCATACCTTCACTTGCAGCTTTTTGCTAGTTAACTGGGGATAAGAGTCTCATGGACTTTTCTGTTCATGTTGGCTTTGAAACTCGATCCTCAGATCTCAGCCCCCTTACAAGCTAGGATTCTAGGTGTGAATTACTGACACCTAGCTAATTTTCCTTAATTTTAATTTATATTATTTTTTTGAGATAGAATACTGTTAACTAAAAAGCCCAGGGCTGGGAATATGGCTTAGCGGTAGAATACTTGCCTTCACATGCAGGAAACCCTGGGTTTGATTCCTCAGCACCACATAAACAGAAAAAAACAAAGTAGTACTATGGCTCAAGTGGTAGAGTGCTAACCTTGAGCAAAAAGAAGCCCAGGGACAGTGCTCAGGCCTTGAGTTCAAGCCCCAGGACTGGCAAAAAATAAAATACAACGCCAGGTGCTGGTGGCTCACGCCTGTAATCCTGGCTACTCAGGAGGCTGAGATCTGAAGATTTCGATTCAAAGCCAGCCTGGGCAGGAAAATCTGTGAGACTCTTACCTTGTATAAACCACTAGAAAACTGGAAGTGGTGCTGTGGCTCAAGTGGTAGAGTGCTTGCCTTGAGCACAAAGAAGCTGAAGGACAGCACCCAGGCCCAGAGTTTGAGCCCCACAACTGACAAAACAAATAACTAAATAAATAAATGCCATCTGGAACTGTCCTTGAACTCAACAAATCTGCCTTCATCTTCTGAATAGCTTGGATCCCAAGTGTGTACTACCACATTTGACTGTATATTTACATTCATATATATGACTATAACTCAAATATTTATAAGAAATGTTCTGCAATGTGTCATCTACATTAATGAAATCTGAGGGATTTCTGGCTTTTTGGTGATTAATTGGAGATAAGAGTCTCACAGACTTTTTGCCTGGCCTGGCTTTGAACTAAGATCCTCAGATTTCATTCTCCTGAGTAGCTAGCTAGGATTACAGGTGTGAGCCACCAGCACCTGGCTGTGATTATCTTCTTGGTGTATAAAGCCTTTAAAATGTTTGGATGCTTTTCTTCAAACAGGTTAGAGTCATCGATTAATCTTCAGTGTAACAGCTAGGAAACCAGATGCTCCTATATTGTCAAGGACAACCTTCTCCAAGGAAGTCAGGTAGGTACTAATGGTGGGGATATGTGTGCAAAGAGGTTCCTGGGTCAAATGTATTTGAAAAAATTAGAGCTTCTCAGAGCCTTGAATATATTCATGGATATCATAAATCTTGAAGGAGAGATTTTGCACATTTATGTTTTTTTCCCTCAATTATTGAGCCTTAGAATATTTTATTCACTAGGCATTGTGAAGCACTTTCTGGAATAGACACTGGAAGTTAGAATAATTACAGGTGCCTGCAGCTCTTCCTAACATGAAGATAAGTCAAGGACCATTGTTCCTCCCATTCCAATGAGGTTTAAAGAGAATGGGGAATCTTCTGGAAGGAGATGCAGTAATATAGATGCTTTTTCCTCTAAGGAACTACTGGCATAGAATCGGGTCAAGGAAGCTGGTAAGTGTATGCCACTTGGCTGGGCAGCTAGTATGTAGAGATGTAAGAAGGTAAGATGTAGATATGACCCTTATGTAAAAGTGCAGGCAGGCAATCCAGAATATACTAGATCTGAAACATTGGGCATAGGATCTGACTCTTCCCTAGTATTTTTGGAGGAAAATTGCAGGATTTTATTTTAAGAATTTCTTTGTGGAGCCATGTGTGCCGGCTGTAGTCCTGCTACTAAAGCTGCTGGGAAGGTGGCTCAGTGGTAGAGCACTTACCTTGCATGCATGAGGCCCTGGGTTCGATTCCCCAGCACCACATAAGCAAAAAGAAAAAAAGCCAGAAGTGGCGCTGTGGCTCAAGTGGTAGAGCGCTAGCCTTGAGCTGAAGAGCTGAGGGACAGCGCCCAGGCCCAGAGTTCAGGCCCCACAACCGGACCCAAAAAAAAAAAAAATCAACAAAAGCCTGAAAGTGGAAGTGTGGCTCAAGTGATGGGGCAGTGCCAGCCTTGAGCAAAAAAGTCAAGTGATAGCACCTAGGCTCCTGAGTTCATGCCCAGAAAATCCCTTCCCCAGTATTTTTCTTGGGCTCAGGATATAGCTTAGCACTGTACACTTGCCTAGCATGCGCAGTGCCCTAGTTCAATCCCCAGCACTACACCAAATACACAGTTTGTACCCACATAATGCTGTGTGGGACACCTACTGTTAGTGCCCATTGCCTGGTATTCTTGTTCCTGAAAAGCCAGTCTTTCTGTAATAGGTACTTTTTTTTTTTTTTGCCAGTCATGGGGCCTGAGCTCTGGGCCTGGGTGCTGTCCCTCAGCTCTTCAGCTCAAGGCTAGCGCTCTACCACTGGAGCCACAGCACCACTTCTAGCTTTTTCTGCTTATGTGGAGCTGAGGAATCGAACGCAGGGCCTCATGCATGCAAGGCAAGCACTCTACCACTGAGCCACCTTCCCAGCCCCTGTAATAGGTACTTCTTACAAGAAATGCTTTATTTCCTGTGTATTCAAAGGGACTAGTCTGATCTGCTTAGGACAAACCTGGGGAGAATTAGTAGGACCTGCTACATGCTTTAAGCACTCTGCTGGGTCCATCAGCCGCCTTCTGACACAGTGCTTCCTTCCTTTCAGTGGATCCCCTTCTTCTTCCTATCACTTCCCTAGTTGTTTTTCACTCTCTCTCCTTTTTTAGGTTTGTGTGGATTTCTTTTTTTTTTTATTTATTTTTATTTATTTTTTTTTGGTCCGGTTGTGGGGCCTGAACTCTGGGCCTGGGAGCTGTCCCTCAGCTCTTCAGCTCAAGACTAGTGCTCTACCACTTGAGCCACAACGCCACTTCCGGCTTTTTTCTTTTTGCTTATGTGGTACTGAGGAATCGAACCCAGGGCCTCAGGCATGCAAGGCAAGCACTCTACCACTGAGCCACCTTCCCAGCCCCTGTGTGGATTTCTTTATCCATTCATCCACCAAAACATATTTAGGTTGTTTTCATGTCTTGGCTATTAAAATATATTGTAATCAACATTGTAAGAAATACAGACATCACCAGGCGCTGGTGGCTCACACCTGTAATCCTGGCTACTCAGGAGGCTGAGATCTGAGGATAGCAGTTCAAAGCCAGCCCAGGCAGGAAAGTCTGTGAGACTCTTATCTCCAATAAATCACCAGAAAACCAGAAGTGGCTCTCTGGCTCAAATGATAGAGCATTTGCCTTGAGCTGAAGAGCTGAGGGACAGTGCTCAGGCCCAGAGTTCAAGCCCCATGATCGACAAAAAAAAAACACAAAACAAAAAAAAAAAACAGGTATCTCTTTGTAATCCTGTTTTTAGTTCCTTTGCATATATAACCGAAAAATGAGATTGTTGGGATATATGGTAATTTAATTTTAAATATCTTGGGAACCTTTAAACTTTTCCATAATGGTTAGCAGTGATCCCTCACCTATCATGGGAGTTACATTCCAGAGACCCCTGCGATAGGTAAAAATCCATGAAGTAACAAGATTATATTTATTATTTATATGTGTTTTAAGTCTTTACAAACCCTTCCTACCCTCCTACAAG